TCCTTCCTTCCTTCCTTCCTTCCTTCCTTCCTTCCTTCCTTCCTTCCATCCATCCACAAATGGTAGATCAGAAAGTGATTAAAATGTTATCATTTATTAACATGGCAAACTGAAACTAGGTCACAAGATTTTCCCCTGAAGATTCAGCAAAAATAATCAGTGTGTATGATATGTGTGTGTATGATACACATGTTTGTCTATGAAAGGCAAAGTAAGTTCCTGCCATCCTTGTTAAGGCAACCCAGAGCGTAGCTCAGTATTTACAATTAAATCCCAATTAGATGAAACAAAAGATAGTGAAGCCTGATTACTTAAGTGTTAAAGAATGACTCCATCTCTTTTCCCTTTATCATTTTTCTGAGTCTAACCTGTTACTAAACTTTGAACAGACTTGTTTCTCATTTTAATTTGACAAATTGTTTGGGAAACCCAAGAATGCAGGAATAAAAGGAACTGCATTTTCTCTTACTCTAATCAAAATGACAATGTTAGGACAGATTGCACAGTTGTGATAATACTAAAAAAACTAGCCTTTACTGAGGATTTTGGTTGACCTGAAGGAAAGAACCATGTCACCTGGACTTAAATTCAGTCCATAGTCTCAGTAAACATTTAGCCAATATTTATCTTGATGTTGTGTTAACATTCTTCAGTTGTTTTCACCCTCTCTGTTTTCCTAATTAATTATGTTTGCAGTTTATTGCTGTGAGTTGAAAGTTTGTTACTATTATATGATGAAAAGGAATCTATTTCCTTTGTAGAAAGTTCAAAGCAATCTTAGTTGGGTTAAGTAACTTTCTGAAAGAGGGCCAGTTTGTTGTACTGATGAAAGTATCAGGCTAGAAACCGGGAGACTCTGAGGTCTATTCCTGCCTTAGGCAAAAGTCAGCTGGGTAACCTTGGGCCAGTTCCTCTCTCTCAGCCCTAGGAAGGAGGCAAATCACTTCTGAACAACCTTTTTATTTTATTTATTTTTATTTATTTGTTTGTCAAACATGCACAAGATAACAAGTATAAGTATGAACAAAAACAAGAACAAGGGAGTAAATTCAGATAAATGGGGACAGTAAGACAGGGACGGTAGGCACGCTGGTGCGCTTTTGCACGCGCCCTTTAAGGACCTCTTAGGAATGGGGTGAGGTCCACGGTAGATAGTTTGAGGTTGAAGCTGTGAGGGGTTGAGGCTGTAAAAACAGAGTTGGGTAAGGCATTCCAGGCGTTGACCATTCTGTTGCTGAAGTCATATTTTCTGCAATTGAGTTTGAAGCAGTTTACCTTGAGTTTGTGTTGATTGTTTGCCCATGTATTATTGTGATTGAGGCTGAAGAAGTCGTTGATAAGCAAGATGTTATAGCAGACAATTTTATGAACTATGCTTATATTAGACCGCAGTTGGTGCAGTCCTAGATTGTCTAGGACCAAAATTTTGAGCCGGAGGCATGGGGATTTCTATTGTGAGTGGAGGAGTGGAGAACTTTTCTCGAGAAATACCTCCAAACCCACTCAATTGTGTTAATGTCCAATATACAGTGTGGGTTCCAGGCAGACAAGCTTTATTCAAGGATTGGTCTGGCAAAGGTTGTGTACTCCCTAATTAATAATTCAATGCTGCCAGAGAAGAAGCTTTGCAAAATAAGGTTCACTGGAAGCCTTTTTGGCAATGCTGTTATAGTGAGCTCTGGGGCTTTGATCATTTGGGATACTCCTAGGTCCCTGACAAACTGAGGGTCATCTACTAGATCATTTCCGCCTAACTTGTATTTGGTGTTGTGATTTTTTTTTAACAATGCGGAGGGCAGAGCATTTGTTAGTTGAAATTTGGAGTTGCCAATTGCCGACCATTCTGACACATAATCAAGGTCACTTTGTAGGGAAGCAGCATTGTCGGTGGTGTTAAATAATTGGTGAAGAGGACGCAGCTGCTTTTAAAGTTGTTGCATAGATCATTGATGTAAAGCAGAAAGAGTGTGTGTCCTAAGACACTGCCTTGGGGGACACTGCTATTAACTACTGCTGGATTTGATAGGGCTTTCCTTATTTTGACCATTTGTTGCCTGTTTGACAGGAACATGGCTATCCATGTGCAGGGGTCTGGAGATGCCGTAAGAACTAAGTTTCAGCAGTAGTTTGTCGTGCACCACTGAATCAAAGGCTTTGCAGAAGTCTATGTAAATTGCGTCTATTGCTTTACCGTGATCTAGATGTGTGGTCCAAATGTTTCTGCAGTGTAGGAGTTACAGATTACAAGACAATTTTTTCCTGAAACCAAACTTCTTGTTAGAAAGTAGGTTGTTTGTTTCTAAATGTAGGGTGATGGATTTATAATCAATTTTTAATTGATTCCATGACTTTACAGGTGACGCAACACAGTGAGATTGGTCTGTAATTTACTACTAAACTAGGGTCTCCCTTTTTAAAAATAGGTATGACCATGGCTAATGATCATAAGTCGGGCAGGGAGCTGGTTCTGAAAGATACCTCATAGATTGTGCCAGGGCAGTGGCAAGCTTTTTCAAAACTTTGCTGTCAAAAGCTCGGGAAATCAATAGATCAATAAATCCAGGCAGTTGAAATGAATATAATTTTTTTTGCAAGTGTAAGCTCTCTACAAGAATCTGAACTACTAACAATCAAAGCAATTTGGTAACAGATAAGGAATTCAAGGTGGACTATATTTAGATCTCTTGTGGGTGTGAAGGGACTTATGACTGAAGATGTGTTTGAACCCTACCTCAGGCTCATCTTCTACACTTGCTAAGAAAACTTCAGGGACTAATTCAGGAAGTTTCAAAGTCTGACAACCCCACCCCCAAAGAAAAACACAGAGCTTTCTGAATACCATTTCAAACAGCTCAGATTACAATATACACCAAAGATGAGCTCATGTCAATTACATTCCTATTTGGCACTAATTGTGTATGAATTGTTACTTGTTATTCAGAAGCATATTTTATACATACTCAAAACTCACTTCTGTTTGTTTATTAAAACATCACCTAAAATAATTTATTAGAATAAATTGTTTTATTAAATTAATGCCACATTAAAATCAACTGTTAAGCTTCACCTTTGTTTGAGGATGAAATATATTCCATAATAAAATGCTTTTTTCACATTCTCTATGCAAAAATTCTAATAGAAAATATGATTCCTGAGGTATCATAACTACAAATGCTTTACATTGTATCTTATCTGTAACTGGCAAACCTTCATTTAATTAAACTAATGCGCAGGTAGAGGGAAAGATTTAAAGCTGAAATATTTGTCAATGGTTCTCTACCACTGATTGACTTTGCTGCATCTGGCAGCCTTAGGAAATAAAGGTAATGAATAAAGGTAAGAATAATTAGCATAGTATTCAGTGGACCTTCAAGTTTCTGAGAAAGAAGGGAGGAATCCCATGTTTGGACTCAGCAAAAGAGACCTTAGGAAGAAGCAGGAATATTGACTAATGGAGATCCAGGTAAATAAGAGTAGGAAGTAGGCTGCTTTGGGAATGACCAGGGAAGCTGGGCCCATGAGAAAGGCAATGGGAAAAATTAGGAGACTTGGAGGAGTGAAGGAACACAAGAGAAGAGAAAGACCGGAACACTAAATGGACTTTGGGATGTCTATTTTGTGTGTGAGAAGGGGAAAGAGAAAACGTTTATAAAATAAACATGAAGAAATAAATGATTAACCCTAATGTGGGTAGAACTTGTAAACACAAGTGAGCTTAAAATATAGAGTGGGTCTTTCAAATAGCAATACTGAACAGGGTGCAGGTTATCCTCATTTAGTGACCACAATTGGGACCAGCAACTTGGTTGTTAAGCAAAGTAGCCTCTAAGTGAAACCATGAATGTGCTTATGATCTTACTTCAGCTTTTCTTTGCTTTACATCTCTGCAAAGGTTGTGAATGCAAGAATTGGTTGTAAAGTTACTTTTTTCATCTCTGTCATTAACTGTAAACTGTAACAGAAGTCTATCTAAATGGAATCTGGGGTTCACAGAAGTGGATTTGTGCTTCAGAACATAGCACTGAAAACCTGTTTTCTGTGAAATGGATTTCTGTTTCAATAAGAAAAAAAGTCATCTGACACATCTGGAAAGTGCCAGGTGACAATCTATAAGTTTGCTGAGGTATTGGTGCCAAGCCATGAAGGGTTTTATAGTTCTGGAATCAGGCCTGGTAGATACTAATATACGGACATG